GGGGGGCCTTTTTTTTTTTTTTTAAAAAAAAAAAAAAAAAAAAAAAAGAGAGCGCACGAGAGAGAAATAACCAGAAGAAAATGCCCATCAAGTCACACCGTATCTCCTTGCCACAGTGGGTCCACATTTTCCTCTTTGCTCTGCTAGCCCTTTAGGTCTACCAGATCCCCCACTCTCACCTCCCTGACACTGCTCCTAGGATTCACATTACTTCTTCCTGCATCCTCAAGTCTTCCTTCTCTATTGGACGGCTCCCATCAAATGTACAAAACTCTTATTTGTCTCATCTTAAAAAAATAAAAAAACAAACTCTTCCTCTTGACATCATTTCCTTCCAGATATTAACCTTCTTTTTTCTATCCCTTTGTAACACTCCCCACCAAAGAGTTGTTTATACACAATGTCGCCATTTCCCTCCCAGTGTTCTCCTGAACTCACTCCCACTCATGCTTTCTACCCCTATCATTATACAAAAGCTACTCTTCTCAAGGTCTCTTTGACCTCCCTGCTACTAAATCCAAGGGTCACTGCTCATTCCTCATCTTCCTGGTCCTCTCACCAGCACAAGATCCAGACGATCACTCTTCCTGAAATGGTTTATGCCCTTGCCTTCCAGGACATCACACACTCCAAGTTGTTTTCCTCCTACTTTGGCCCCTCCATTCAGTTCTCTTTACTGGATCCCGGCTCCTCTGCCCCTCATAATGGTGCAGTGTTCTAGGGCTCTGTCCACGGACTGCTTCTGCTTTCATCAGCATTTAGTCCCTTAGGTGCTCTCATTTACAAATTCAGGCTCATGCCTTAAACATAATTTATATATACGCAGCAGCTCCCAAACTTAAACCTGTAACTTCACTTTTTTATTCCAAAAATCAGGATCTAACTACCTTACTGTCTGCATTGGGAAGTTTAACAGATGCCTCAAACTTACCACATCGAAAACTGAATTCCTAATCTCTCCCTATAAAACATGGTCCTCCAGTGATCTTCCCTATCTCAGCTAATGATGACTCTGGCTTCCAGTTTCTAAGGACAAAAACCTTACTAGCATTACTCTAGACAATGCTCTCTCTCAATCTCTCATACTCAATATCTGATCTTTAAAGAAATTCTCTAAGCTCTACCTTAAAATATACCCAGAGCACACCACTTTATGTGACTTCTATTACTTCTACTCAGGCTAGGCCTTCCCTATCGCCTGCAATTAAAGTAAAAGCCTCTGGAAAAGTCTCCCTGGTTTTATCCTTGCTCACTCTAGACTTTCCTCTACACAGTGGCCCAAATTTTCTGATATGCTGCTTTTTAAAACCTAAGTGAGCGCATGGCACTATTCTGCTAAGATCCTTCTACTAGCTCCCTGTCGACTCAGTGAAGCCACAGTATTTAAGAAGACCCATCAACCATGATCCTGTTTCTGACCAGGGTGACTGCCACTGCTCTTATTTCCTCAGCTCCAACAACCTTTGGCTTTCTCGGTACTTCGAACACCTCATGCATATGCCTGCTGCAAGGCTTTTGCACTTACTGCTCTTTTGGCCTGATTTGCTCTTTTCCCAGATAAAGTCAGCACTTTCTTTAATGTCTCTAGTCAAAGATTTCATCACTGAGACTTTCTCTTGAAAACAAATAAACAAAACAAAACCTCTCTGGGGCCAGCAGGTGGTATGGAGGATAAGGTGCCTGGATCCCACATGACTGACTAATGGCTCAAGTCCCAGACCCGGTGGCATGAAAAACATGCAGGGTGCATGTGTGTGCCTAATCAAAATCCTAAGAATGTAGGAGAAAGGATTACATTGTGGCCAGCCTCCTGGGGTATGATTTTTTAACATTCCTTCTCTGTCTCTCTTTGGTGAGCACACATGCCCTATGACAAGCAAACAAACAAAAAACATAAAACCCTCTTGAAAATTCCAGTTCCAGTCCCAAGTTTTCTTATGTTTTGTTCCTGCTTTATTTTTCCCAACATAGTTAACTAAAACAAACAAGCAAAACACCGAACCACACATACATATAGAAAACATTATCATCTTGGGACCAGCAGATAGCGTAATGGTTACGTCGCTCGATGCCCATGTTGTTAACTGGAGTTTGAGTCCTAGACATGGCAGCTTAAAATCAGATCGGGCGCATGTGCATGCACGCCCAAAAACCCCAAGAGGAGAGAGACTATAGCATGGCCATCCCCACAGGGGGTGATTTCTCACTTTCTGTCTTGCTCCCTCTGGTGAGTGTACACGCCCTATAGCAAAAAAATCTCTCTTAAAAAAAAAAAAAAGAAAATACTTATTTTTTTATTGTTTGTTTCCCTTGCTAGCAGGTAAGCTCTAAGCAGATGGAAATGCACTTGTTTTGTACAGGCTGTACTGTCACTGCCTAGAACAGCTCCCAGCAAAGAAGCCTACAGGTTGAGGCAGGATTGCCGTCAGCTTTTAGTACTCAGAGGTAAGGAGGACTACTCAAAATGAGAAAGCAGATGCATGGCAAGGACGAGAACATTTCATCTCCCCTCCCGAATTACCCATGGTTATTTTTCTTTTCTTGGAGAGGTTTTTGTGATAGGGCGCATGCACTCGCCAGACAGACAGAGAGAGACAGAGACAGAAAGAGAGAAATCACCCCCGGGGGGATGGCCATGCCGCAATCCCTTCTCCTCCATTCTCCTCTTGGGAACGCACGCACATGTGCCTGGCGTGAGTTTAAGCCGCCAGGTCTGGGACTTGAACAGCAGTCGACTACGTGGGAGTCCAGCGACATAGCCATTACGCTAACTGCTGGTCCCTCCCATGGTTATTTTTCAATGAAAGTGCCAAGGCTAACTAAAATATCTCACGGCATAATAAACTAAAACAGATAAATAAGTATATAAATAGAGTAAAAAATCTATAGATAAAGCATTCCCACATCTCTTACTAAACAAACGATATAAGAGATGGAGGCCTTCATGCTGAAATGGTAGATAATATTAGGTAACTAAAGCAAAAAATGACTTGCTTTTCACATTGAATTTGTCTGTACTTCATTACAGATAAAACAAAACAAAACAAAAAAATCAGAAAACCTGTAAAGTGATTTGACTTTCAGGAAATGGAATTTTAGAGTTAAGAGGAAGAAGGAAAAGAGGTAATGAATAGTTTCAAGATTTTACTAATCATATATAAGTTTATCTGTTTCTCTTTTCCTTTTTTTTTTTTTTGGGAGAGGTTTTTCCTACAGGGTGCATGCACTAGCCAGAAGGACAGAGAGAGACAGAGAGAAATCACCCCCCAGGGGGGATGGCCACACCGCAATCCCTTCTCCTCCATTCTCCTCTTGGGATCTTGGGCACGCGCACACATGTGCCCAGCGTGAGTTTAAGCCATCGGGTCCAGGACTCGAACTGTGGTCGACTACGTGGGAGTCCAGTGACATAGCCATTACGCTAACTGCTGGTCCCTCTTTTCCTTTTTTTTAAAGAGAGATTTTTGCTATAGGGCACATGCACTTGCCAGATAGACAGAAAGTGAGAAATCACCCCCTAGAGGAATGGCCATGCCACAATTCCTTCTCCTTCATTCTTCTCTCAGGATCTTAGGCACGCACACACATGTGGCTGGAATGAGTTTTAAGCTGCTGGGTCCAGGATTTAAACTGCAGTCAACTATGTGGGAGTCCAGTGACATAACCATTATGCCATATAAGCTTATCAAGAGATTATTTTGAACAACATAAATCTTATTCCATTGCATAAAAAGGCAACAAAAATTGGCAGAGACTAAGCTATAAATAAACAGTACTTAGCTAGGATCATATTTTTTGTCTTGTTTTGTTGTTTTTAAGAGATTTTTGCTACAGGGCATGTGTGCTTGCCAGAGAGACAGAGATGGAGAGACAGAAAATGAGAAATCCCCTCCTAGTGGGGTGGGCGCACCACATCCCTTCTCCATTCTCCTCCCGGGATTTTGGCCACGCATGGACACACACCTGGTGTGAGTTTTAAGCCGCCAGGTTGGGGATGTGAACCGAGGTTGACTGACTACATGGGAGCCCAATGATGTAACCATTATACCACCTGCTGGTGGTATGATCATATCCTGACCCCCTTTACATGGTAATATTTTCTTAATGAATGCAAGGAGTCACACTGAAAGATAACCATGGGGAGATGCTAATCTCTTTCATGCTCTGGGTCAAAAATTAAAATTAATTATAAAAGGGTAGCAAAATGGTTTCAATTTTCAAAAGTAGTTTAATTAATGCTTTTTTCCACTGATGAAATGCAGCATTTCAAACAGGCATTGATTTCTTGCTTTCTGTCTCTCTGTCTCTCTGTCTCTCTCTGGCAAGTAAGTGCATCCTATAGCAAAAATTTCTCTAAAAAATAAAATAAAATAAAAGCAAATAACACAGGCATCAGGGAGTCTTGGCTTCCCAGCTGAAGGTCACAAATGTGTGAACTCTGGGAGAGTCAAACAAAGGGGAAGAATCAACTGCCAATAGAGAGTACTGTGTGAGAGAACATACCAGAAACTGGCCTCATGATGTCCATTGGTTCTACTTCTTCTTTCACTTTGATCTCGGGTACGGGAGGGCCCAAAACGGAGGAGAGGCTGCCACCCACAGCAGCTGAAGGTGGTGGTGCCGCTGCGATGGTTGTGATAGGTGGAGTGATGGGGACGGCTCCAGGAATGGTGGAAAGGGAAACGGCTGGCTGTGGGGGGGGGCTGGCTGGCGCCATCCTCGGGGGGTTTTTGCTGGGCAGTGGGGGGAGCTGCAATGGTTGTCTGGTCATTACTCTGATTGGATACGGTCTCCATGGACACGGTGACTGGAGTGGCCATAGACACATGGATTTCTGACTTCGGTTTGGCACTGAAATACAAAAGCAAACCACATGTAGCAAGTAAGAGAGACAGCCTTAACCTGCAACATCGCAGAGGATGAGTACTGGTCCAGTTCTTTTTCTATAGCTCGCAGTATATCTAGCACTTTATTCTTTTATTCTGAAAGTTCAAATTTAAGGAAACTTAAATGGAATTTATGTTTTTAAAATACTCTGTCCATCCTCACCAAATTTTTATAAATAGTAATACGAATAATTTAGAAAGCAAATAACTTTCAAAAAAATTTTCCTACAGGGTACATGTGCTTACTAGAGACTGAGACAGAGAGAGAGAGAGAGAGAGAGAGAGAGAGAGAGAGAGAAAGCATACCCCCGGGAGAAAGCCATGATCCCCTCTACATTTTTCCTTTAAGAATTTTGGGAATGCACACACATGCACCTGACATGTTTTTGAAGCTGCTGGGTCAAGGACTCAAACCATACAATTTGCGATCCAGCCACCTTAACCACCACGCTACCAGCTGGCATGACTTTTTGACTCTTCAGTAAGAACAACTACCTTAAAACATAAACAGAGGGCCAACAGGTGGTGTGGTGGTTAAGGTGCTAGACTCACACATGGCCAACCACAGATCAAATTGTGAACTTTGTGGCTTGCTTTCTCATTTTCCCTCTCTCTCTCTGTTGAGCACACGTACTCTATAGCGAACTTAAAAATAATAAGAAATAAGGTAATTTAAAAAAATCATATAGCTTTACCAAATTTTTACATACCCTTATTTATAAATTTTTGTATTTTAAATTTTTTTTTGCTTTTTAAACTTTTTTGTTAAAAACTAAGACATGAATGCACATACCAGCCTAGGACTACACATGGTCAAAATTATTATTATTATTTTCCACCTCCAAATGTCCCACAGGAAAGGACATCGAGAACAAAAAAAAAAAACACTTAAATTAGGCACAAGAGAAACCAACGCAATCAAGGTTATGCAATATATATAACAATGTTTGAGGCTGCCGCCAACATAATATAGCATGCTATTTGATGGTAATTTATTTATTTTTAGGTTTTTGCCATAAAGTGTGTGCACTCGCCAGAGAATGGGAAAGTGAGAAGTCATCCCTCCCTGGCGGGATGTCCACACTGCAATCCCTTCTCCTCCATTCTCCTCTTGTGATTTAGGGCACACTTGCACACAGGCCCAGGGTGATTTTCAATCTACCAGGCCTGGGGCTTGAAACACAGTTAGCCATGTGAGAGCCCAGTGCCTTAACCACTATCCTACCTGCTGGCCCCATTACTGTCATCTTCTTAAAAATATTTGCTGCTCTTAGCCAAAAGGCCAAAAAACAATATTAAAAAAAAAACCAAAAAAGTAGAAGTATACTCTGGAATAATGATTGAAAGGATGGTATTATAAAGATATAAACCAGTATTGGGAACCAGCAGTTAGCGTAATGGCTATGTCGCTGGACTCCCACGTAGTCGACCGCG